GTACACAACATTTAAATAGATTATAAATACAATAAAAAATAAGTTAAAAAAAAAAAAAGAAACAGACACATTCCCACCTCAGGGCCTTTGAACCTGCTGTTTGTTCCCTATGCCTGGAACACTTTTCCCTCAGATCCCAGCAGGGCTCGCTCCCTCATCTTATTCATGTCTCTGCTCAAATGTCATCTCCACTGAGCACCCCTCCCTGATCTCTCATAAAATACAAAGTCCCCTGTACTCTTTCACTCCCCTCTGGTCTACCTTTCCCCACCCACCGAGCACCAGCTGAAATTAGAGCTTTGTTTGCCTGGCTATGCATTCACTGTGTTCTTCCCCTCTAGACCCTAAGATCCCCGAGGGCTGAAACTCCAGCACTAGGACATGACTCAGTAAGTGTCTGCTGAATGAATGACTATACAGTCGAAGGAGTGGGGGGGGCGTGTGGGGCCCAGGGGAGGGGAGTCACACCCACATCACAGAGCTGAAGGTTGTGAAAATGCAGTGGCTCTTCACCTTTTAGAAGCTAAGCACCTCTCTGAGTCCTAGATGAAAGTCACAGGCCTTTTGTCCAAAAAAGTAACTGAACATTTGTATATAGTCTCAAGAATCTCTCTTACACCCGGCAAAGGACATCGGCGCCCACGGGAGGGAGACAGAGAGACCTGGATCTACTCGAGCATCCACTGAAGCCCCTTCCGCTCCCCGCGGGTCGCTTCCTGGGTAAGCCCGACCCCTCCGGTGCTTCCCAAAGAAAGAACGGCCTCTGTGACAGAGGCAGTGGACCAAGTAGAAATGGGAGGGTCTGCGTCCCTGGGCCAGCAGCCAGGTTTCCGGCGACTACATCCTGCATCTCAGCTCTGGACTTTGGCTCATGGTGGGAGACGTAATGACTGTGCCTCTGACACACACAAGCCTCGTCACCCTCAGGATTGACTTGCTTTGACCAATGGAACATGGCAGAAGGAAGCCCATGCCGGCTCTGGGCCTAGCCTGGAAGGGGTCGGCAGCTCCTGCTTCTGCTGTGTAGTAAGTCTGCCGCCCTGGGACCACCATGCTGTGAGGAAGCCCAGGTAAGTGAGTCACATGATTCAGGAGAGCAAGAGTGACCATGGGGAGGAACCCTGAGTCCCCACGTCTTCCTGGACCGTCCAGTCCAGCCAGGCCTAACTGCCTCCAATCACAGCTGAGTGAGTGACTCAAGCTGACGCCAAATAGAGCGGAAGAACTGCCAAGCCAAGCCCTGCCCGAGTCCCTGACCCACACAATAATGGAAAAGGATACATCTTTGTTGTTTTAAGCCACCAAGATTTGGGGCAGGCTGTGACACAGCAAGAGATAACAAATCCATTCACAAAATTCCCTTCCTGCTTCTCTGAGCCCTGCCCATCCGTCAGTATTATCTCTAGGAACACCTCCTTCCAGAAGTTTCCCTCATCACCGCACCTCACTCTTCACCCCACCAGCTCAGAACTCTCAACCGACCCGACCTTGAAGGCTCGGCTCAGGGCTCCCTCCTCTGGGAAGACCTCCCTGACTTCCACTGTGGCCGTGGGTGCTTCTCTGCATGCCCAGTGCGCCTTGTGCACACCCCATTCCCGTGACCATCTGTCTGCTTGTTTCCCCTAAGACTGTCACTGTCACATAGTCACTGTCCCATACGCCACGCACACAAGCTCATTACTCCCAACAACATGGGCTCAGTAAGATGCTATGAACTGCAAGCACCCTGCACCGCTCATCGGGGTCACACACTGTGTCCTGTGCTCTCTGCAGACCTATGTGTGTCTTCACCACCGTGGCTGGAAGTGCCTTTAGGGGGACGGTCGGGCCACTGGCCTCCGCACCCCTCACAGAGCTCAGAAATGTACTGCTGACTCCGATGTGGTGACGGACCTGAACTCCAGACTTGCCCACGGACCTCAAGGACTCAGTCCTGGATCCCCGAGACCTGGATGTCCTGCAGGGATGGACAGACTCTGCCTGTTTATTTTGACTCTTTTCCGTCAATGAAATTCTCCAAAGTCCACACAGTCCACATTCACAACGGTGAATTCGTTCCCGAAGGATCATCTTTCGGAAGCCATTCTCTTTAAAGGCATCCACCTCCTGCTCCTGCTTCCACAGACAAGCGTGGAAGCGTGAATACAGCTTCCCACGCTGCCTGGGAGTCGCAAATCAGCTGGAAATATCTGGTTCAATCTGTTGTTATAAAGCACAGTCCAGACGGCACTGTCACCACAGGGACAATGTGACTACACACACAGTCCCATGACCTTTACCCCACATTCCAGAGATAGGAATTACAAGGGCCTGCGGGGGTGCTATAAATAGTGGGGTGGGCCTGGGTAACCCTTATCTACAAGCTCCTGATCTTGGGGAACGTCCAAAGCACTTTCCCACCCAGGAGGCTGGGCCAGGGCTCGCCTGCCTCTCCTGCTCCAGGCTGCATGTCTCGGCTGGGACCTGACCCTAAATCCTATAGGCTCACACAGGCCATGAAATTGCATCAACACATCAGGGCCTTTGTCACCTGGAGCTGAGCCAGATGGAAAGGTGATAAAGGCCAAAAAGGAAGACGAGGGAGAGAAAACAGGGAGAGGACAGGTCAGGAAGTGGGTCCTTCCAGGCACACAGCTGGCCCTCCACATGTCCTTATGGAGCCAGGGGGTCTGCATTCAACTCTGGGAGATACGAGATGTGTGCCGGACTGGGGACAATTTCTCCTGCTTCCACCACTTCCCAGCTGTGCAACCTTGGCCACACTCCCCCTCGGGAGATCAGTGTGCCCCCCCATGAGGTGGCTGTGGGGCTTGGAGACACGTCTCTGAAGGGACTGGTGTACTACCGGTATACAGAAGGTGCTCAATAATGTGAGCTCCCTGCTCATCTCTCCCCGCCTCCATTAGAAAGGACTGGCTCAGTACTGAGGCACCCCAGCTGGGTACAAGAGCAGCGCTGCCCCTCTCGGACGAAGGGCTGAACCCCCAAGGACCAGATTAACTTGAATTATGTCACTCAGTTCTACCAGGGGACCATTCATTCATTCAGTTCATTCATTCATCCAACAAACATCTGTTGAGTGATATGTAGCAAGCCTTGCCCTGAGCACAACTGATGAGCATCCTTGTTCCGGGCACGATGGGGCTTTAAACGACGCCCCAGCAGGGCTTCTGCCCACGGTCCTGTCTCTGTCTTTGGACAGGACATGACAGCCTTCTAACTGCCATCACCTAGGCCCTAGATTTTAGGGACTAGGAAGTGGCCCACGGATGATGGTGACAAAGATTATAATGACACCAGCAAACAAAAAACAAAGCTTGTAGAGAGGAGAATACAGATGCATTCAGGAGACCCCCCTGAGGGGATGACGGGTAACACATCCACCGCGCCAGGCTCTGATGCCAGCTATCTGACCCCAAGTCTAAGCTCACCATCCTGAGGGCACAGATCAACCCTCTGCCGTCTACCTGCACTGAAGGACCACTTTTCCTTTCATATTTTCAGTTTATTGTAGGCTGATACTTCGCAAAATGCACAGATCACGTGCCTGAATTCTATGCTGATGTCAAGCTATTTTCAAAGTTCCTAAATCTTTATTCTCATTGTTGGTATCTGTCTCGTTGCTACCCAGCACCAAACAACTCACACACTGGCTCCCATCCACGAAGCACACCTAGGGTAGCAGTGATGCAGTTCAGTGCATTCCACAAACCATCACACTCTAGCATAATACAGATTGCAGACACACACAAGCAGTGGCATTGTAAAGACCCACTTACTTTCTGATGGTTGAAATTTGATCAGATCTTGCAGGTCGGTAGAGATCTGGAAAACGTGGCTGTAGAACTGCTGGACAGAGTTCCTCAGGCCAGCGATGTCCCTGGAGTGTGCCCGCAGCGTCCCGTTCATCTGCCTGACGCAAGTCCACAGGCTGCTGACGTGCTTGTTCAGCCCTTCCTTGATCTTCTGAAGGCTCCCGGCGATGGAGTCCAGTTTGCTGCACGTCTTCTCCATGTGAGACACTCTGTCCTCCACCACGGAGACCTCCCTCTGGACCTCGTGCGTCTTCTCCTTACAAGTGTCCAGCTCAGCAAGGACCTGGCTCCGCAGCCTCTGCCACCCCTCGTCCAGCGGGCCGCAGCAGGGCGCCGGGGGGCCCCGGGCAGATGGGAGGGGCTCCTCCAGCCTCTCCGGCTCACCCCCCTTAGAACACCCCCCAAACCCGGCGTTGCTGCCTCCTGCACAACCACTCAGCTCCTTCTGAAGATGCCTCACGTGGTCCTCTGTGTAGTTGAGTTGAGAGTAAAGAAGACTAAAATCCCGTTGAAGGTTCTGGATGCTCCGTTCGGTTTCCTGAAACTTCCTGTGCATCGTGTCATTTAGAGGTTTCAAAAGGCTCAAGCTGTCCCCCGCTGTCTGGCCATCTCTATTCTGTAGAGCATCGTCTACCCCGTGAGGCTGTCTCTGGAAGCTCTGCAGGCAGAGATCCTCGACAACCTGCACTTTGTCCTTCAGGTGGTTTAACTCCATCAGGACCTGTCTGTGCCCAGCCCCCTGTGCCCCTGGCGGGGCCGGCGCAGGGCCGGCGAGCTCTGCACCGGAGCTGTTGGCCACCTCCAGCAGCGCGCTCCCCAGGCGCTCCTCCAGAGACTGGATCTTCTGACTGAGAAGTTGCTTCAAGTCATCCACCTCCCCATTAATGGTCCCTCGTAGGGTCTCTTCAATATAAAAGCAGTGTTCCTCTGCGTTCTTCTCAGTCACGTTGATCCTTGCGTCCAGCTCATTCCACCTTGCATCAAAGTCCACGTCTGGCTCCGGAACTATGAGGCGGTCAAACTCATTGTCCAGACGTCCGTTCAGCATTCTGGTGGCTTCGGCAACTCTTTCAATTTTCTGGTCTAACATCTTGATCTGCTGCCCAAAGTCACCATTCTTTGCACTGTCGCAGCAATTTCCCTGGGCTGACGGGTCCTGTACATGGGCTCGGAGGTCGTTTATTTCTTTTCTCAGGCTCGTCTCCTTCTCTCCTATAAGCTCAACCACTCCCAGGTGGCTGCTCCCATAGTCATCACACTGCTGCTGGAGCACAGCCAGCTTGTACTCACACGAGTTCTTCAGGTCGGCCAGCTTTCTGTCCATCCCCTCCATGAGCTCCTCCCTCAGCGCATCAATCTTACTGTCCACATAGGCTTGGTAGAGCTCATTGGTCGTCATGGTGACTATAGGGCCCTGGGCAGCCTCCTGGAGCTGTCTGAGCCGCCCTTCATAACCCTTCACTTTCCCATCCAGCTCTTCCAGCTTGTCACTCTTGGTCTTCAGAGCATCCTTGACTTCAGCCAATTCAGACTGGATGTCCTTCATGCCAGAGTCCCTATTGTGGAGGACACCGGGAAGCTGGATCGTTTCTGGTTCTCCACCAACGGCACTGTCTGGCACGGGCTGGGGGTGCAGATTACTGAGCCATGACGCCAGCATTTTGCTGGCATCGTCCTGAATGGCGTGTCTGAGGTTTTCATTCACCCCGGCAATGGAAGACTGGAGATCAGTAACTGTCCTTGTGAGTCGGAGAACCTTCTCCTCAAGCACCTGGATTTTCTTTTCCTGAAGTTCTTGGGGCCCCTGTTTTGGATCTACCGTCCGACTTGGTTCCGCCGCAGGGGTTGGTGACAGAGTCTTCTTAGGCTCTGTGACCTGGCTCGGTTCATTGTCTGTTACAAAGAAAGAGTTGGACATGACTTAACATTTTCTACCTTCACCGAGTTTCTGCAAAGACAGTAAACAGGGTACTCATAGACCACGCTCAAACCTCCACTTACAGCTCCCCTCCCACCGCAGGTCACTACACTGGTAGAGTGGAAAAGACTGTGGGCTTAAGTCAAAGAGGCCCCTGGTGGTGTTCAGGCTCAACTGTTTACAGTCTGCCCTCGAGCAAGTTGATTCCCTTCTGTGAACTATAATCCCTGCATCTACGAAACAGAGGGACTGTCTTCCCTCTTTGGGTGGTTAGGAGAATATTTCCATGGCATGTAATTGATACTCAATGGTCTCTTTCACCCTGAAGGGAAATAATCTTTATTTACTTTATCATATGAACACATCATTCCCACATTAGGGACCTGCAGCTGCACCCTGATGGTTGACCACATTCTGTAAAACCACAAGAAGCCACTGAGATCCACCCATTAGCTGCCGGGTGGTATGACATCATACGAGCAGCAAGTCATCCTCCACGCAGCTCCTAAGTGTTCTCCTTCTCTTTGTAGCATCCCTGTGCTAAAGGAGTCTCACAGACCTTGTTTAGCGCCGTCATGCAGCTGGGGAAACTAAACGCAAAAGAGAAATAAAGCAGCAGATTCTACTGGCATCTCCTAAGGACAGAGCCCTGTGGCCCCTATGCCGTGAGAGTCACTAAGTCAAAGTACACAAACACTGAATTTTTGATAATCCTACCTTGACAAATATACCTCCAAGGAAATGGTTCAAAAGAAAAAAATTACTATGAAATAACTGTGATGAGTCTCACAATGAAAATAAACTGATGGATACAGAGAGATAAATTAAACAAAAAGGAGGTTATCGAAACAAGGGACAACGGGAGAATAAGCAGGAAACCATGCCCTTGAACGCGACAGACGCATGGAATACTAGAAAGCGTTTAACATCAACAAGACTGCAGACCACACTGAGACCTACCCCATCAAGTGGGAAAGGTCACACACAACATAGGTTACAATGAAATAAAGTGCACCACAAAACACTGGCACCCCGACAAACACTGGAAGTATATTTAGGATGTTGTGGATATTTGAGTTCAAAGTTCATTGTTTTTCCCTCCTCTAACCTTTTGCACGCAATCATAACAGCTATTATTCAGCAAAATCAATTTAGTGGTAAAACCAAGACTGGAATTCAGATGTCCAAACTCCCATGCAGAAAACTAGAAAGAACACCTTATATTCTGTACTGAGAAATGTATTTTATCTCAGGGCACTAGGAAAAAAAAAAAGTTGTTGAATCACATACAAATGAAATGCTGCTCTGAGCAACGGAAATTTTTTTTAAAAAGGGCAGAAGCGGGGAGGATCCAGATGTAAGGAAATCCTTGTCTCCTATACTACTGGTGACTCTGAGAATTGCTACAACTTTCTGGAAGGATAACGTGGCCAGTGTATCAACATACTCAGAGTCCTTTTGACTCTGCAGTTATACTTTTAGAAATTTATTCTAGTAAATAATAAAGATGAATCCAAACATTTAACAGGAAAAAATACTTATTCAAATATTACCTATAATGAAAAATGGCAAAAAGCCTAAGTGATCAATGGCAGGGGATTGTGTCCGATCACACTCTCTGAAGTCATTAAATGATATCGTAGAATATTTAATAAGGTGGAGGGAGAGGGTCTAGCTCACTGGTAGAGCACGTGCTTAGCATGCACAACGTCCTGGGTTGGATCCCTAGTACCTCCATTAAAATTAATAGTGATAAATAAATAAACACATAAACCTAATTGCTTCCCTCCCCTCAAAACAACAACAACAAAAAAGAACATTTAATGATGGAGGTTTGTTCAGTATAAATAGTTAAGTTAAAAAGTAAGTTCCCCAAACAGTATGTTGCTCCTTATAGTGACAGTAGATTGAGGATAAGTACTTCCTTTCATTCTCTTCTGAAATCCCAATAAAAAAACAACCAAAATGCCAATCAAGTCACACTGAAAAACTGAGAATCAGAACGGTTTTGGAGTTTTTCAAGTGTACTGGAAGCTAGAAGAAGGTTGAGCCACTCTTTCAAAATTCTAAAGGAAAATTATTTCAGACCTAGAATTCTGAAGCTAGAGACAACATGTTTTCAGGCTGTAAAACTTCGGGAAGTTTAGCCCCGTGCAATCTTCTCATGAAACCACTGGAAGATCTGCTTTACTGAAGCAAGGGAGTAAGTCGAGAAAGAGCAGGGGGACAGGAGCAGGCAGTGGATGGAAGAGAAGTCAGGCAAGATCACGGCAGGGGCGGGGCCGCTGCGAACAAGGACAAGCAGGTGACCAGTCCGGGGGGGAGGGGCACATGAGAAGGCGCCAGGAGACATTTCTTCAAGAAATTGATGTCTCTGGACACAACGAGGGGACATTTAGATAACCAGGCAGAGTTTGGGTTGAAATAGAGATAAAAATGTAGAAAACCAAGCAAAGGAAAACACAGCTATTAACTCAAGAGAAATCCAAAAGCTGTGTAGGAAAGGCAGCACATCCGCAGTACACTCCAGGGCTCAGCTGTAGACATCACCTGCGTAACCACTACAATGGAAACAGGAAATTCTGAGTAGATAAAAACACAGGATAACTGAAGGGAAAGGACGGTGGTACAGAAGCCCCGTCTGTGTTTGCAAGCAGATGAAAGGGAGTTAAATCCTCACCTTCCACAATGAGAAGTCAAGAGACATGGAGGTAAATTCCAAAGGACCATCTAAAGAGTTTAAAGCAGTGCTCGCTTCAGCACACGTATACTAAAACTGGACTGGCACAGAGAAGTTTAGCATGGCCCCTGCACAAGGATGGCACACACCTTTGTGAGGCATCCCATATTTTTAAGCAACGTAAGTGTCCATAAACAGGTGAGTGGATAAAGAAGACGTGGTGTCTATATGCAATGGGATACTACTCAGCCATGAAACAATGAAATTTTGCCCTTTGTAACAGTATGGGTGGGTCTGGAAGGTATTACGCTTAGTGAAATAAGTCAGATCGAGAAAGACAAATATACTGTTATCACTGTTATGTGGAATTTAAAAAATAAAACGAATGTATATAACAGAATAGAAACAAACTCACAGAGGTAGAGAACAAACTAGTGGTTACCAGTGGGGAGAGGGAAGGGGGAAAGGGGATTAAGAGGCACAAACTATTATGTATAAAATACATAAGCAATAAGGATGTATTGTACAGCACAGGGAAATATAGCCATTATTTTGCAATAACTTTAAATGAAGTATAATCTATAAAAGTATTCAATCACTGTGTTGTACACCTATAATTAATATTGTAAATCAACTATACTCAATTAAAAAAAAATGTTAAGAGTTTAAAGTAATTACCACTGGGAAGGGAGGTGGGGGAGAAAGGGAATCCCTGCTTATCCTAACAGTGCTTATAAAACTATCCAACTCATTAAACTACACATGTGTTTAAAGTTTTGTAAAATGAAAACTAAAGCTAAACTAAACAGAGATAAACTATCTACTATGATCCAGCAGACCCCTCCGTGTCCCCGTCACGGCGCCTGCCACGATCTGCTGTAAGCACTTGTCTCATATTAGCCTCCGGGGAGGTCGGGGGCTGTGCCTGCCTTGGGCCTCTCTTTTCCCAAGTGCCCAGTACAGAGCCTGCAGAGAGAGAGCTTGATAACTATCTGTGGGACAAATGAATGAATTTTTCTTTAACGAGATGTCTGTGCAGCTGTAGAGAAGACGTACTGTTGTATATAGTAAAATGTTAACAGTGGCAAGATTAAGTGTTCTTAAACATTTTTCCTGTATTTTATAAACATTCTTTAATTGATATGCATAACTTCCGTAATAAAAATTATTTTAAAATCTGTCTTACAGACAATATTGGGAAACACCACTAGTTTCAGAATTGAAAACATCTCAGGGGAAAATATAGTCATTTAAAGACGACTTACACATCTAGCTCATAGGGAAACCTAGGTTGCGTTATTCTCACTAAACTTTAAAAAGAGGGGAAAAACAAATAAAAATAAAAAGAAGAAAGATAAACTGAGGTAGGATAAAATGTGAAGACATTTTTATCCATAAAAATCAGTCTCTTAATATCACACTTAAAGGCAAAGGTGGAAATTACCATTGCTTTCTAAGCTATTCACTGGGTTTGTGCTACTTCACTTAAAAAAGAAAAAAATTGAAAGTGGGGGGGGGGTACAGCTTAGTGGTAGAGTGTGTGCTCAGCATGCACAAGGTCCTGGGTTTAATTCCCAGCACCTCCATTTAAATAAATGGATAAATAAACCTAATTACCTTCCCCAACCCAAAAAAAGAAATATGCTTAAAAGGTTTAATTAAAAACAGTGGGGAAAACAGAAGAAAAACAAATCAGAAGCAAATTTAAGAACCACCTCACCGGATACTTTTAACTCAGGGCTTAGCTTTGCAGCCATCTCACCCTGAGCAGAATGAGAACGATTTCATTTACCTCTTCTTTAGAAAACAATGTGAGCTCCTCCAGATTCAGGTTTACGGGGAGCCCGGAGGTAAAGAGCAATGTAAAAGCAAGCCCAGCATCCTCACATCATTACACCTGGCTCTTCCGTCTGTGCCTCAGGCCGCAGAAGGCCGAAACCAGCAGCAGCTCCTCCTCTGAGGCCTTGGCTGTCACACCAAGGCAGCCCTTTACAAAGCGGCTTCCTTTTTAAAAGTTCGTCTTGCTACCACTTCAGCAAATGAATGCGGGTGCCCCGCGTGTCTACCGCAGGCATACATGCGCACCGTCGGCAGGCCCCGGAAAGCGCGGCACTGTAATAACTCCTGACTCCCGGCGTGCGGAGGAGGTGGCGGCCGCGCACGGCAGAGCCCGGGTAAGAGGTCACCTGTGGCTTTCTTCATGCTGTTCCGAGGCCGAGCGGGCGTGGGACGGGGGGTCCTCTCCGGGTCTCTGGCACCTTCTTGGCAGTCTCCCCCTCTGAAGCCAGGGCAGCACCTCCACTCCAACTGGGTCACCGTCTTGTACCTGGTGACATATCTGGGTCTGACGCTCACACGGTACCTGCCAAAGGAAAGGGTGGCATCTCTACTGGCTACTGTTGCAAACATCCCTGGCCCTCCTGGCACTGGCCCTGAATGAAGAGGACCCAAATCACTGCTAGCTCCAGGCTGACCTGGCAGGGCCATGGTCTCCCTCAGTCCAGCCCTGATCCCCTGGGGTTCAGCCAAAATCAGACCAGCCCTTTCCCCCATCTCTGAAAGAGACCTGCACCCAGCTTCCCCCAACTAAAGGCGGGGGAATCAGACAGAAAAACTTGGCCCCACGACTCTCATTGGATGTGGACATTTTCCACAAACCGAGCTTTTATTTCACTGACAAACTCCTGTTCTACAATCCGCTGCTTTGTGGAGATTTTTTCAGGGTAAGCCAGGACCATTTGTTTTGTGTTTTAGAGAAACATCCCTGGTGCCCTGCCTCCCACGCCCCCAGGGTGTTCATCTCAGCCCCATCCTCCCAACTCCGCAAAGGGAGCAGCAAGCCTTTGGAGACGCACCTCACACTATCTTCAGATCTTTTTAAGATGCCCTGGTCCATACGGCTAATGACAGAAATAAGGAAGCAGAGCTGGAACCACTCAAAACCCCCATTAGGGGGAGAAGGCATAGCTCAGTGGTAGAGCGCATGCTTAGCATGCACAGGGTCCTGGGTTCAACCCCTGCGACCTCCATTTAAAAAAATGATCTCACTCAAAAACCCTCTTTAAAGCGCATGTTCCCTGATGTACTTGCCTGTCACACTGGGATCCAAGCAACAAGCTAGGACTGGACCTCGGCCCAGAATAGAGAGCGACAGTCCAGTGCCCCTGGGTGCTGAGAGGGCCAGGCCGGGAGTTCACAGCCGCAGGCAGGGGCCCTGCTCAGGGCAGAGGCGAGCCGGCTCCCCAGCTTCCCAGCTCCCGTTTCAGACTGCGGACTGTGGCTCGCTTGAACCTCTCTACTTTCTCTTCATTCTCAACACTAGCACCAGCAGCTGGCCTCCTTTTGGGGGATCAATTCTCTGAAAGAAATGGGCTTTGCATCACATCCCCAGGGTTGCTGTGTGCAGCTCAGGGCAGGCAGGGAGCAGCTGCTGGGGGCCTCGCACCCACCAAGCGACTCCATGGCAGGCACCAGTCTCGTGCAAGGGGAGTTCAAAGTTAGATTCCTGAGAAAATTACACATGGCTAAATGGAATGGCCCCTTGCACCCTCCCTGAGGGTCCGAACCCTGACCCCTAAAACCCCACTCGCCAGGAACTCCTCCACCAGGACAGGCAGGCGACCCTTCAGAATTCCCAGCGTTGGCTCCCAACACCTCCCTGCAACCCCGGTCTCCTGGGTCACTGAGGGCAGTGGGTCTCAAGCTGGACCATGCATCAGAATCGCCAGGGAACCGGGACAAGACCCAGGCTTGGGTCCCACCCTCAGAGGCTCTGATTTAATTGGTTGGCGGTGTGGCCTGGGCAGGCGGATTCTGAGAAGCTGGGGTGGGAGCCTTCTTAAGGAAAACCAAGGAAAACAGAAGCGCTGCTCGAGGGCTAGGGGCAAAGCAGGTGCAAGACCCTCGTTCTCTCGGTCCCGCCACATCCCCGTCAAGGCCCCACTATGTACATCTTCCTCTTTTCACAAAGGAGGAAACAGGCTCACAGAGGTTAAGTGGCCTCTCCAAGTTCCAAAGGTCAGGGAGGGCCAGGGCTGGACATTAAACCTGTGTTCTCCCCTGAACCCCACATGGCCCTCCCGGCATGCAGAAGCAGCCTGTCTCTCTGGCCACTGCCGTAACTCTGAAGCAACCCCACCCACCCAGAGACGTTCCAGAAGGCCCCTCGAGCTAGGTAAGCAGGTAGCCTGAGCATCTAATTTGGCCCCGTTACACACCAGCCATCGGCCCCCTAGCACCCCACCTACCAAAAGCATCCTCTGTGTGGTCCTAGAAACTACAGGAAGAGAAAAATTCCGCCTCATTGTTTTGCCTGCACAAGCACAGCATAATGCTGGAAAAATGTGTCATCTCAGAAAAACTCTGTTCCTCTGAGCATTTAGGACTGAAGTGAAAATGTGTTTGCTCTGGGGTTTTGTTCGTGAGCCAGGAGATGACAGCCCACGTGAAACCCTTCTGGATGGGGCAGGCCACACCGAGGGGACCAAAACCCGTGGCTCCGATGTTGGGGGACCTGGGAGGACCCCACCTGACCCAGGGCCTGAGCCCCTCACTGCCCGGCCAAGTGTGAGAAAGTTCTTGTTTTTCCAACACACTTCACTATTTTCATCGGAGGCAGTTACAATTTCAGAGCCAGCTCATAACTTAGGAAAGTTCCCGGGAGCGCTCGCCTCCCCCTCCACCCCACGCACCCTAACCCTGGCGCCTCCTATAGGGTTTCCAGGTTCAGTGGACTTCAGGTTGACCGCTTCTCTGACCAAGTGTCTAGCCCCACGTGTGGAAGCGGTGACAGCTGGAAGCCATCAGGGGCCACCTCCACCATGCGAAGGCTCACAGCGAGCTCCCTGCTGCAGGACACATCCCGGAGACACCAACAGGTCCCCAAACCTGTTTGTGGGTGTGATGGGGTGAGGTAGGAGGTGTCGGCCCCACAGCCTCCTGGGATATCCCTGCAGTAACGGGGTCCCTGCTTCCACAGTGGCAGCCAGGAGTCCCCAGAGGATGGGGAGGGCCCGCCCCCATCACTTAAGCACCATGGGACAGAATCCTGGCCAGGGAGCTTTAAAAAAAATGTTTAGACCTTTAGCCTCAAAATTCTAATTCCGTTGGTCCCAGGAAGAAGCGCCCAGGGGTCTGTACTTTTCAAAACAACTCCCAGGTAATCACCAAGCGCGGCCAGAGTAGAGAAGTGAACCCCAGATCCAGGCCCGCGGGGCAGACAGCCAGGCAGGGAACAAATGGAGGCCAAGCATTACCTGGGGCCCTGGGGCTGTGGGTGTGTGAGGTGTTCGGGGGACACCCAGCAGGGGGCCAACCAGGCGCCGCAGCCAAGGGGCAGGGTCCTGCCCAGTGGGCTGGAGCGAGGGCTGCCTGGGCTGCTGCCTTGGCCCCCATCCCAGCCTCGGGTCAGGGCTGTGACAGCATCCTGTCCCTAAGGGGGCCCGTCCAGCTGCCTCAGGCACCCCCAGGGCTGGCGATGAGCTGCCCCACAGCCCCCTCCTCTCCTTCTGTAGCTCTGGAGGGGTGTTTTGGGGTCAAACAAGGGCTCACTGTTTTCGTAAGTTCAGTCACCGTGTCGAGGCACCAGCTGGACTCAGGAGACCCTAATGAGAAGGAAGGTGGCGGGAAAAGGACTGGAAAAGCCAAATCAGAGTTCAGGGACCATATGACTGGAAGTGCCCTTGATGTGACAAAATGACTGTCACAAAGACTCCTTCCTACCAGTGGGAGGCAAAAC